GTATTTTTTCAGTGTAGTCTGGCTTTGTTGGGAGATAAAATAAAAGCAGTAATAGGCTGGAAGATTTTAGAAGGGTGACTTGAATGAGGGTAAGGTATCCACCCATAGAAATGTGATGTCTTTCCTAACTATTTAGCCTCGTGGCCATTTTTCATATATCTCATTTAATTCATTGGTTCTAATCATATAACTCATTCAAGGTCATCTATCTCATTATGGTTATCGATAATCTAGTTAATTCCTTACCATTTTGATATGAACTACGGTTAAGGAAATGTCATATCTCAAGATCCAATTATAAGGTCAAGAGTGACTACAACGAGCTTTAATCACTTTTATTCAAGTTATGGTGAACTCATCAAACAAAGTTCTCGAATATGATTGAGTTCTTCCCTATATGTGGTGTAAAGTTGAATTTTAAGAGAAAGATACATAAAAACATTTTAACTTGCCTATGATGAACTCATAGTTGAATTTATAGTATTACATTAATTTAATTGTATTTCAATTTTTGTTAATCACTTAAAATAGTTTTAATATGGGTGAATTTTTGTTAATCACTTATGCTAGTTTTAATATGGGTGTTAAAAGTTATTATCACACACATAAATGAACGTATTTCATTATTAATTAGCCATTTTAATTTGGAGGTTACCTTATTTCTTTTTTTATTACGAAAGTTACGAGTATAACTAATATAAGATTATCAAAACTTATAATAAAGCTTTTTTTTTTGTCCTTTTAATAGAAGACATCTAATTTTAAATTGAAATAAATAAGAGTTTCTTTTTAGATTGGTTCTTTATTTTGCAAATTCTAAAAGACGGTGTCATTCAAGTGATGTTATCAATCTTTTGTGAAATGATTCGGATCATGAGTTCAGGAACGAGTTTTCTTCATTTCTAATTTTGATCATCAAAATATCTATTTCGAAAACTTTTTTTTGGATTGATTCCTTATCATTTTTTTGAGGTTCTTGGATAATTTAGATTTAAACGTTCTTCTACGAGGTTCTAATAGGTCACATTAATGTCGTAACCATCAAATGAGGAGACTCTTGAACCTGCCAACTATATATACCCATGTGAACCTTTGTGCTCAACTCAACAAGTTCATGGATAAGTAATGGATGGAGATCCCCTAATCGTCTCCACATAAAGTATCCTAGGGCACAAAAAATATATATATTTAGAGCACAACCTTGTCCATACCAACTCATCATTATAAAAAGAAACAGTTCGAAGATCTTTCTAACAACCTCTTAATAGTCCCAAAATGGTATAATCATAAAGTGGTGTCGGCTACTCAGATGCTATGTGGATCCTTGCCCTTAGGTCGACTAGTTCACGACCTAGGATTAGTTGGTGAATACCTAACTATCCTCACATAGTAACATAATCATACAATTTTACAAGCATAAATCATAGACAAGACACGGTAAATTGTATAACTAAACCATCGATCATGCTCATAACTTTCTTAATTTCACAATGGTATTTGGTAATTCAACGAGTCCTAAAATATGAACTGTTAAGAACCAATTCAATTGGACCGATTGACAAGTTCAATCATACCACATCTCCTACCTTGGACCAATGCTCACAAGGCTGCTGTTCTTCTTCCCGTTTCTGTATTTCAAATTTGGCCAACAATTTTTCACCATAATTGATCGCAATTTCTTCCATGATTCTATTGGTACTGTTAACATAAATCTAGGGTCCACCGTTGGTGAAGAGCTGACACCAAGACTCGACTTAAGATATATTATGAGTCATTTTTTTTGGCTAACAGGAGTAGATATGGTTTTGGTGAACAGTCATACAGTCTTGTGGAGTATTCTTCCGATATTGGATTGATACCAAATTCGTATTCCATTTAGACAAACATAACTTCAGTGTCCCATGCCCAAACTCTTGTCTACTTATTACCTCCCTTTTATTTATGTCTCAACTTGACTTGAATGTGTGAGCCAATAGACTTGACTTAATAGAAATAACAATTTTAGAAGAATTGTAAACGGTTGTTCAATTGTTTAGTTATTTAATTAAGAAGATTGTTAATGATGGTAAATACTGTGTTCAGTTCAAATGATCTCTCCCCTCTGTTGTTTATGCTTCATTTATTTGTTTCGATATGTTTCGATCGTGGACACCTCCAACAAAATGCAAATCTTTCTTGGTGTTAGACGATATACCATCCTCAGTGCAAATCTTTCTTGGAGTAGTCTTGATTGTTATCATTCTTTACCTGAGTACTCTCACAATAAATAATAAATGGAAGAAACAAGAAAAGAAAATTGTTCTCATAAGAACTTATATTTCCAAGTAAATAACTTCACTTTCTTAACTTGTTAGCAATGATAAATCCGACACATATTGAGTTACGTTAATATTTTTTTTTTTACCAGAACCAAAAATATATAAGCAATAATTGAAAGAGTTATTGAGTGTTTTATAAGTTGTACCGTAATGCCACAATCAAAATATTATGATATTCAATTGTTGTAGCGGAAGCGGGAGCAAGTTCAATCGCACTCAGACACCCACAAACAAAAATTAAATAAATAGGCACAAATAGTTACGTGATTTGGAGAGAAGAAATTCTTCTACATCTACGGGTGATAGCCAATCACTATAATCAAAGTGTTTAAGTGTATCTCTTACACTCTCATGCTACAAAATCTCTCTTACAAAATTCCTTCCAATAGTCTCTAGAACAATGAATACAGTCTCAAAATAATGTTAAACAAGCCTTTATATAGGCATAGCAATAATAATTCTAATACATGAACCAAAGCAACATTATGTTCATGCATGAATTATGATGATTTATGTATCAAAATGAGAATATGAACAAAAAGGGTTACGAAATATATGTGATTTATGAACCAAAAGGGTTATGAACCAAAATAAATGAGAATATAAACCAAAAGAGTTATGAACTAAATAAGAGTGATGACAATACATCTTCATGACAACTTACACCTTGTTAGAAGATCTCAAGCAGATAAACGGTTTGGTTGCCACCAAGTCAACAAGCTACTTTTTCCTCCAAAATTGATCAGATCCAAGAAATGCCAAAACTTTTCACGAGTAATCACATTTGTCAACATATCCAAAAGATTATGAGCCATTACAATTTTCAATAAACAGATGTCCCCTTCATTGATAATTTCTCGAATAAAATGAAATTGAACATCAATATGCTTGGTACGAGCATGATGAACTTGATTCTTCGACAATCAAATAACACTCTAGCTATTACAAAGCACATCTACGTGTTTTGTTTTTGAAAAATACCAAGTCATTAACTAAACCATGCATCCAAATAATTTTTTAAACCATGCCTCCAAATAACTTCTTTAAACCATGCACCCAAATAACTTCTTTAAAAGGTTAACCATATACTCTCTCTTTCCGTCTATATAAAGATTTCTTTAATCTACGTACCAAATGTTGTTGCTCAATTGCTCTGAAACAAATTTGCAATATCATATATATATCCACTTCCAAATCTCCATGCAAGAAAGCAATTTTTATATCGAGTTGTGCAAGCTCAAGATTAAATTGAGCAACCAATGCCAACAAAATCCGAATGGATGGAGATAATCACAGTGCTTGAAAAATATGATTTCCAAGAACAACTAAGCAAGCTTACAATGAAAAACATGTCTTGGTTTAATTTCTATTTGTGGGTGTATGAGTGCAATCTATCTTACTTCCCCTTCCACTACAACAATTGGGTATGCGAACATTTTGGTTATGACATTAAAGTACACCATTATATTTTTTTAAAGAACAAAAAGATATTGTTTATATATATATATATATATATTTTAGTAAAAAAAAAATATTAACCCAACATCATCCCAACATCATCCCAAGCATAAGCATGATCCAAGTTAGATGTTTACAAGCAGCTTAGAATTAACACATAAGATTGAGTTTGAAGGATTATTGAGTGTTTTAAAAGACTTAGCATAGACATTGACATATCAACACAAAAAATGTTAAATTAGACATTGATATATACATACAAATATAACTTGGAATGATTGATTAACTAAAATTGGTAAATAGAAATAAAAATCACAAATATGAAGCAAATGGGTAGATGCATGCAGATTTGAATGACTAAATTATGCTTTCATTTGAAGAAAATGGTTTAGAAGAGAAATTTGGTATTGTTCATAATACTTAGAATATCACAGTGATTTTGTAATATGAAGTAAATGAGAGCTACGGAGAAGGTGAGGTGCAAAATCATGTGTATAAGATTGGTAGCCCTAAACGTAGATTTTGGGCCAAACCCTTTTTCTGCCTTTTGCGTGTACAGATTGAGGTAGTGGCTTTTAGGCCCCATTCTCTCCTTATATATACTATATCTCTTCACTCAAAGCATTCACATCCATATGCAAATGGCTTCTCATAAGCTTTCTTCTCTTGTGTTCTTTCTGTTGTTTGGAATAGGAATTTGTTCTGCAGCCAGACGATTGTCAAGTTCTTATGAAAGATATGGTTCTTCAAGTGGTCATGGTTATAGTAGCTATCCTTCTGTAGGAGAATATGGTGTTGAAAATTATGGCGATGGATATAGTAAAGATGGTGCATATGGAAGAAAATACAGGGAATACAATGGAGGAAAGTACGGGGGATATGACGGAGGAAAGCATGAGGGATACGATGGTGGAAACTACAGGGGATATGGCGGAAGTAGACACGAAGGATACGATGGAGGAAATTATGGGGGATACGGCGGAGGTAAGCATGAGGAATACGACAGAGGTAAACACGAGGAATACGACAAAGATAAACACGAGGGATACGATGGAGGAAACTATGGGGGATACGGTGGAGGTAGGCATGAGGAATATGACAGAGGTAAACATGAGGAATATGACAAAGATAAACACGAGGGATACGACGGAGGAAACTATGGGGGATACGACAGAGGTAAGCATGAGGAATACAATAGAGGTAAACACGAGGAATACGATAAAGATAAACACGAGGAATACGATAAAGATAAACACGAGGGATACGATGGAGGAAACTATGGGGGATATGACGGAGGTAAGCATGAGAAATATGGCAGAGGTAAACACGAGGGGTACGATGGAGGACATGAGGGATACAATGGAGGAAACTACAGGGGATATGGCAGAGGTAAATACGAGGAATACAATGGAGGAAACTACGGGGGATACGACGGAGGTAAACACGAGGAATACGACAAAGATAAACATGAAGGATACGATGGAGGGAACTATGGAGGATACGACGGAGGTAAACACGAGGAATACGACAAAGATAAACACGAGAAATATGATGGAGGAAACTATGGGCGATACGACGGAGGTAAACACGAGGAATACGAAAAAGATAAACCCGAGGGATATGATGGAGGAAAATATGGGGGATACAACGGAGGTAAACACGAGGAATACGACAAAGATAAACACGAAGGATACGATGGAGGAAACTATGGAGGATACAACGGAGGTAAACACGAGGAATACGATAAAGATAAACACGAGAGATACGATGGAGGAAACTATGGGGGATACGACGGAGGTAAACACGAGGAATACGACAAAGATAAACACGAAGGATACAATAGAGGAAACTATGGGGGATACGACAAAGATAAACACGAGGGATACGATGGAGGAAACTATGGGGGATACAACGGAGGTAAACACGAAGAATACTACAAAGATAAACACGAGAGATACGATAGAGGAAACTATGGGGCATACAACGGAGGTAAACACGAGGAATACGACAAAGATAAACACGAGGGATATGATCGAGGAAACTATGGGTCATACAGCGGAGGTAAACATGAGGAATACGACAAAGATAAACACGAGGGATACGATAGAGGAAACTATGGGGGATATGGTGAAAGTAAGCATGAGAAATACGACGGAGGTAAACACGAGGAGTATAGTGGAGAAAATTATGGGGGATACGATGGAGGTAAACACGAGGGACATGCACCCTGAGAAACACATTTTTAGCGGTACAATATACATAATATCATGAAGAAATAAAAAAGAGCACCATATAAATAATTCTCACCCTCATGTATTCAAAATAAAATATATAACAAAGATGGGGAAGTGTTATAATATTTCTATGTTCAAATGAGAGCTCTTGTTGTAATCTCTCTTTAAATAAATAAAGAACAGACTTTTATTTTTAATCTTATTCGAACAAATAGAACTCTTACACTATCCCATTATATCAAAATGGAGACTTTCTAAAATTGATTGAATATTGCTACTAAACAAGCCGTTGATGTTTCAACCAATGGAGCAATCTTTTCAAAGACGTACAATGAAACTTATGAGATTCTAGAAAGAATAGCACCTAACAAATGTCAATGGGCTGATGTGAAGAGCAATCCAGGAAAGAAGACCCGAGGAATACTTGAAGTTGATGCTTTGACGTCTATCAACGCGCAATTAGCATTGGTGACTAATATTCTACAAAATCTAGCGTTGGAATAAGGTTCAATGATTAAAGCACAAGTCCAAATTGTTGCTATAATGACTCAAATTGTAAACTAAATCTTGTGTATATTACGAAGAAGAACACACTTTTGATCAATGTCCAAGTAATCCGACATCAATTTTTTATGTGAGGAATCAAGCTAGTTAAAGGCAACCAGAAAAATAATATCTTCTCAAACACTTATAACAAACTTCTAATGGGAGGGACAAAGTCCATACAATCAACAAATGCCACCGAAAACAAATTACTCTCGAGTTTTTTGACTACAAAATCAAATGACATATGGTCTTCAACAAGCCAATACTCAAAGGAAAGGAACTAGCCAAGCTCAACACATACATGGAACATCACTTGAGTGCCTAACAAAGGAATATATGGCCAAAAATAATGTTGTGATACAGAGTCGACAACCATCCTTGTGAAATTTGAAAGTTCAAATAGGTCAATTAGCAATTGGGTTACAAAATAGACCTCTTGGGAAGATGCGAGGAGATACCTAAACACCAAAAAAAGGCAATGTGCAGTTTCAAGCAATAGAATTGTAAAGTGGGAAATTGATACACAATAGAGATATGACGAAACTACTAAACCCTAAACCTAAGGAGCAAAACAAAAATTATGCAAAAACAATATAGTCTCTCCTAAACGCAGGCAACATAAGTAGTGAACAAAAGAGCAAGAACATACATACCAACATCCTCTTTTCCAAAAAAAAAAAAAAAAAAAAAAA